TTTTCTTCCCGTGATTCTGGAAGCAAAGTTGCAACTTATGGTTATTATGTCAAACCAAGGTAATATTAAAGACAGAAAGCAGCAACGCTTTGTAAGAAGTTAGTCGGCTTAACAGAATTATGCCGAGTGTGGTGAGAGTTTCGAAGAGACTTAACTGAGTGTGGAACATAAATAGTTAAAGGAGTCTTTATTATTGTTTCTTCGGTAATCTTACATAAGGGAGCCATTACTGAAATAGCCTTTATGCAAAGTGGAAGCCTTTTGCTATGGAATCTAATTTAGTTTTGGAGCATAAAGCAAGTTATCCCCACGCATTTTTGTAAAAGCATCCGTATAAGACAATAACTGTCTATAAAAGTCAAAAATACTTAAAAAATGATTAAAGACCTGAATATAAAGCAATTGTCAGTGAAATTTGGCTACTTCTGTGACATACAACATTTTAAGATAATAACTAGAATTATGACTGGCAACATACCAGGGTCTTTCAAATTTTAGGAATGTCGTACAATTTTTGGAACCTTTCTATTAAGAATATTTACCCATAGAACATAACTTAATAAGGTTAATGTTATTTATTTGATGATATTTCCCACATAATTTAACAGAACAAATAAGCTTAATTAGTTTAATCTCTCTCTCTGAGATATCCAGGGGCCCTTTGACATAGCCCCAGATTAGCTAAAGGACAAATGAACTTCATTTAGAATTTGATTTGAGAAAGTCTGACAGAGATATCAAAGAGTTTTTAATGTTTGGCCAAGTAAGATCATATGTCACTGTGAAACATTACTTATTCACTTAACCAAGTGACAAGACAATATTTCAAAGGCAAATGCAGAAAGTTACTAATAAAGAAAATTTATAATTTGTTTATCAAAAGCAGATTAATACTTAAAGAAAAATTTGTCTTCTTAACAGAAAAAAACCAAATTCTAGTTTTGTACCATTTCACCTTTAAATATTAATAATTCATTTAATTGAATTCAATCTAATTCTCGTCCT